ATGCAGTAATTAATAGCCTGCCAACCAAAAAAAGCCCAGGACCAGACGGGTTCACAGCCAAATTCTACCAGAGGTATAAGAAGCTGGTACCATTCCTTCTGAAACTATTTAAAACAATAGAAAAAGAGGGAATCCTCCCTAACTCATTTTATGAGGCCACCATCATCCTGATACCAAAACCTGGCAGATATGCAACAAAAAAAGAAAATTTCAGGCTGATATCCCTGATGAACATCGATGCAAAAATCCTCAATAAATACTGGCAAACCGAATCCAGCAGCACATCAAAAAGCTTATCCACCACGATCAAGTTGTCTTCATACCTGGGATGCAAGGCTGATTCAATATTGCAAATCATTAAACATAATCCATCACATAAACAGAACCAGTGACAAAAACCATATGATTATGTCAATAGATGCAGAAAAGGCCTTTGATAAAATTCAACAGCCCTTCATGCTAAAAACTCAATAAACTAGGTATTGACGGAACGTATCTCAAAGTAACAAGAGCCATTTATGACAAACTCACAGCCAGTATCATACTGAATGGGTAAAAGCTGGAAGCATTCCCTTTGAAACCCGGCACAAATGCCCTCTCTCAGCACTCCTATTCAACATTGTATTGGAAGTTCTGGCCAGGGCAATCAGGCAAGAGAATGAAATAAAAGGTATTCAGATAGGAAGAGAGGAAGTCAAATTGTCTCTGTTTACAGATGACATGATTGTGTATTTAGAAAACCCCATCGTCTCAGCCCCAAATCTCCTTAGCTGATAAGCAACTTCAGCAAAGTCTCAGGATACGAAATCAATAAAAAATAACAAGCATTGCTATGCAACAATAACGAACAAACAGAGAGCCAAAGAAGTGAACTCCCATTCACAATTGATACAAAGATAATGAAATACCTAGGAATACAACTTACAAGGAATGTGAAGGACCTCTTCAAGGAGAGCTACAAACCACTGCTGAAGGAAATAAGAGAGGACACAAACAAATGGAAAAACATTCCATGCTCATGGATAGGAAGAATTAATATCGTGAAAATGGCCATACTGCCTAAAGTAATTTATAGATTGAATGCTGTCCCCATCAAACTAGCATTGACTTTCTTCACAGAATTAGAAAAAAGTACTTTAAATTTCGTATGGAACCAAAAAAAAGCCTATATAACCAAGGCAAACCTAAGCAAAAAGAACAAAGCTGGAAGCATCGTGCTGCCTGACTTCAACCTATACTATAAGGCTGCAGTAACCAAAACAGCATGGTACTGGTACCAAAACAGATATATAGACCAAAGAAACAGAACAGAGGCCTCAGAAACAATGCCACACATCTACAACCATCTGATCTTTGACAAACCTGACGAAAACAAGCAATGGGGAAAGGATTTCCTATTTGATGAATGATGTTGGGAAAACTGGCTAGCCATATGCAGAAAACCGAAACTGGACCCTTATACAAAAACTAACTCAAGGTGGATTAAAGACTTAAACATAAGACCTAAAACCATAAAACCCTAGGAAAAAAGCTAGGCAATACCATTCAGGACTTAGGCATGGGCAAAGACTTCATGACTAAAACACCAAAAGCAATGGCAACAAAAGCCAAAATTGACAAACAGAATCTAATTAAACTAAAGAGCTTCTGCACAGCAAAAGAAACTATCATCAGAGTGAACAGGCAACCTACAGAATGGGAGAAAAATTTTGCAATCTATCTATCTGACAAAGGGCTGATATCCAGAATCTGTAAGGAACTTAAACAAATTTATAAGAAAAAACAACCCCATCAAAAAGTAGGCGAAGGATATGAACAGACACTTCTGAAAAGGACATTTATGCAGCCAACAAACATGAAAAAAAGCTCATCATCACTGGTCATTAGAGAAATGCAAATCAAAACCAGTAAGATACCATCTCATGCCAGTTAGAATGGCGATCATTAAAAAGTCAGGAAACAACAGATGCTGGAGAGGATGTGGAGAAATAGGAATGCTTTTACACTGCTGGTGGGAGTGTAAATTAGTTGAACCATTGTTGAAGACAGTATGGCAATTCTTCAAGGATCTAGAACCAAAAATACCATTTGACCCAGCAATCCCATTACTGGGTGTATACCCAAAGGATTATAAATGATTCTACTATAAAGACACATGCACATATATGTTTATTGCAGCACTATTCACAATAGGAAAGACTTGGAACCAGTCCAAATGCCCATCAGTGATAGACTGGATAAAGAAAATGTGGCACATATACACCATGGAATACTATGCAGCCATGATAAAGGATGAGTTCACGTCCTTTGCAGGGACATGGATGAAGCTGGAAACTATCATTCTCAGCAAACTAACACAGAAACAGAAAACCAAACACCACATGTTCTCACTCGTAAGTGGGAGTTGAACAATGAGAACACATGGACACAGGGAAGGGAGCATCACACACCGGGGCCTGTCGAGGTGGGAAGCTAGGGAAGGGATAGCATTAGGAGAAATACCTAATGTAGGTGACGGGTTGATGGGTGCAGCAAACCACTATGGCACATGTATACCTATGTAAAAAAACTGCATGTTCTGCACATGTATCACAGAACTTAAAGTGTAATAATTAAACAAAAAAGAAAAGAAATTGCAGTCCTTGTGTAGTCCTAGACTGCCTTTCAAGTTTATCTAGGTCCCCAGAACACTTTGGTTCATGGTGGAGAGGCCTGTCAAGAAACTCAAGTTCTGACCTCTGTGATGGGTGATTCCCGTCTGACTAGGTCTGGTTCAAGTGCTCCCTTAGAGCATGTATGCTAATTGAGCCCAGCCTGGCTTTGCTTTCTGCGGTTACAGGTTAGCACTGATATCAGTATAAAGTCGCCTAGTCACTACACTCTCCTCCAAGTGCACAGATTATACAGCCCCCATAAGGGACTGGGGAGAGATGGTGTTGGCAATTGAGGACTGACTGTGTAACCAGCCATGAAAGAGTACTTCTTCAGTTCCTCTTTCAGTGATACAGAGTTAAAACCAGGTACTGTGAGTGCTCACCTGATGTTTGGTTATTTTGATTTTTTATTTTATTTATTTAATTTTTGGTGCATAGCTAGTTTTTAAAATTTGGTGTTCCTGCGCAGGGAGGATATACAGTATAGGATTCTATTTAGCCATCTTATTCTTCCTTCTTCCATCTTAACCATTTTTAAGTGTACATTTGAGTCCATTCATTAAGTACATTCACATTGTCATGGAACCATCACCACCATACATCTCCACAGTTGTTTTCATCTTAGAAATCTGAAACCGTGCCCCTGAAACAATAGCTCCTTATTCCTCCAACTGCCCCTCCCTTCTTTCCCCTGGCAACCACAATTATAGTTTCTGTCTCTATGAATTTGACTACTCTAGGTACTTCATGTAAGTGAAATCATACTACCGTATCATACTACTGTGTCATACTATTGTTTGTCATTTTGTGACTGGTCTGTGTTAGCATAATGTTCTCAAAGTTCATCCATGTTGTAGCATTTATTAGAATTTCCTTCCTTTTAAAGGCTAAATAATATTCCATTGTATGTATATGCATAGCAAATCTAGTGTCCATTGATAAATGATAGTTGCTTATACATGCTATAAGCAGCTTATGTGCCCAGTCATCTATCAATGGACACTTGAATTGCTTCCACATTTTGGCTATTGTGAATAATGCTGCTATGAAAATGGGTATACAAACATCTGTGTAAGACCCTGCTTTCAATTCTTTGGAATATCTACCCAGAAATGGAATTGCTGGATCATACACTGATTCTATTTTTAGTTTGGGGGGGAACAATTATACTGTTTTACATAGCACCTATATTCCCACCAACAGTGCATAAAGATTCTAATTTCTCCTTATCCTCACCAGCAGTTATTATTTTTTTCTCCATATTTTAATTATCCCATGGTATGTAAAGATGTGGATTTTTTTTTCTTTTTTTTTCTTTTTTTGGAAATGGAGTCTCGCTCTGTTGCCCAGGCTGGAGTTCAGTGGCGCAATCTCAGCTCACTACAACCGCCACCTCCCAGGTTCAAGTGATTCTTCTGCCTCAGCCTACCGAGTAGTTGGGTCTAGAGGCACGCGCCACCACACCTGGCTAATCTTTGTATTTTTGGTAGAGATGGGGTTTCACCATGTTGGCTAGGCTGATCTCGAACTCCGACCTCCTGTGATCCACCTGCCTCGACCTCCCAAAGGGTTGGAATTACAGGCGTGAGCCACTGTGCCCAGCCTGAATTTTCTCTTTTTTAAAATAGTAGCCATCCTCATGGGTGTGAGGTGAGAGCTCATTGTGGTTTTGATTTGCATTTCCCTAATGATTAGTGACTTTGAGCATCTTTTCATGTGTTTATTGGCCTTTTGTGTCTTCTTTGGAATGTATGTTCAAGTCCTGGAAATCAGTGTTCATTGGTTTGCCAAAAGCTACTCCTTGGAAACAGAAATCTAACCTTTAGTTTTGGTTGACACATTTGGTGGTGATGTCAGGGACAAATATAAAAATTACCACATATTAATCCAATGTGAGAATAAGTGAACTTCAGTTGAATATTTGAAAACTGAGTACAATACTATTCAGGAAAACTGAATTTCAATCTGAAGTGTAAGTATATAAAAATCTTAATATTCATCATCTGCAGCTCAAAAATCAAAGATTCCCTCACTTTTCAAACTCAGGAACTGAATAAATTTGGACATCAAAGGATTCTTTATCTTTTCTTCTGCTTACATGCATATAAGAAGGAACTTAATAGGTGTACTCTGGTTTTATAACTAGATTTTTCTCACTAATCCTCAGATTGTCCTGGCAATTGACTACATCTATGTATACTTTGGTATTTATGATGAAATTTGATTTTTAGCTGACATGCATAACTTTGATGGTGAGGAGTAGCAGTAATTATGATTTTTATGAGACATTTTACTGTAATTGAAAGGAGTTTTATTTAGTGTAAAATGTGTTTTTTCCATTTACAGGTTTCTGAAGGATTGTCATTCTTGCATAGCAGTGTGAAAATGGTACATGGAAATATTACTCCTGAAAATATAATTTTGAATAAAAGTGGAGCCTGGAAAATAATGGGTTTTGATTTTTGTGTATCATCAACCAATCCTTCTGAACAAGAGGTAATGAAAGTTTTAGTCTTCTAATTTTTGAGGCCAGGGAAATTTTGATTGTATCTGGAATGGACTGGAAATAGGCTATGTGGTACAGTGGTATGTTTAGATGTACAGCTTTATAGAAAATTTCTGGTGTTCATTGCACTTAAGAGTATTCTTCGGCACAATACTACCACAGTAGTTAATGTTACTTGAGAAAAGGATGCAAGAGTTAAATAAATTTAAGAACTATTTGGTTAAATAGGGTTTTTTTTTTTTTTCCCCTCAGAATGTCAAATACAATAACACATGTGACTCTCTAGCAGTGTTTCCCGTTTATTGGGTCATGGAATATTCTTTATATTCTTTAGGGAGCATAATCATAGCAATAGCAATAGCTAACATTCTTATTGAAGCACTTTTCCACACACTTTTTCTGTACTTATTTAATCCTTACAACTCAATGGGGGGGTATAGGAATAATATAGATAAGTTAAGTAGGCTCAGAGAATAAAAGAACCTGCCTAAATTTAGGTAGATGTAAGTGATAGAGCCAGAATTTGAACACAGCCATTCCGCTTCCAAAGCACCTTTTCTTAATGATTAGGATACGTGCCTATTCATACTTAGAGAAACACTGCATTAAATCAGTTCTGCTTTGTGTTGATTGGGTCTGCATGGCATAGAAGATCCTTGGTGATGTGGCACCTTATGATCCTTGGTGATAGGTTTTTATTATATGTAGTTGTTAGAGGGCCTGTGATTTGACCTAAGATTTGTAAGTTGAGCAGCCATTTTTAAGGTAATCAGAACTAACTAGTATTGGTTGAATATATAGCATGAGTGGGTCAGACACTATGCTAGGTCAAACTTCTACACATTTGTTTAATCCTTACTACAATCTTTTGAACTTTTTGACTAAATCACATAGCTAATTAGTGAAAGAACAAATTTCAAACAACGGTCTCTATCTGAGCTCATACAACTTTTGAAGCCTGTGTATCATAAAACATGAGCCAGACCTTCACATGTTCATATTACATATTACAGTGATAATTTGTCTTCTGGAAGAGACTCCAGTAATCTCAGTTGTAACCATTCTTGTTTCTCAGTTTGTTGCATAAACTTTTTTACATTTGGGGATTTGGGAATTTTGGGATTGAAGATGTGATGGCATTTTTACTTGCATAACCGAGTAGAAATTTAAAGATAGATTGCTACTGCTTGATAGTTGTTTGGTTGAATTTGAAGTAACCCATGTAATTCCTTTTCTTCCTATAGCCTAAATTTCCTTGTAAAGAATGGGACCCAAATTTACCTTCATTGTGTCTTCCAAATCCTGAATATTTGGCTCCTGAATACATACTTTCTGTGAGCTGTGAGACAGCCAGTGATATGTATTCTTTAGGAACTGTTATGTATGCTGTATTTAATAAAGGGAAACCTATATTTGAAGTCAACAAGCAAGATATTTACAAGAGTTTCAGTAGACAGTTGGATCAGGTATTTGCCTATAAATAATTTGCTTGCATTAAAAAATTTATTAAATGTGTCTTTGATTTTTTTCCAAAATGTTTTCAGGAAATTATCTAAATGACATGAGTATCTCATTTTGTTTGTGTAAGATCAGTTTAATAATTTAATATATTTTTATTTTAACAAATTTGTAAGTAACGCAGACTAGGCCAGGTGCGCTTGTTCACGCCTGTAATCCCAGCACTTGGGGAGACCCAAGGTGGGTGGATCACTTGAGTCCGGGAGTTCGAGACCAGCCATAACATGGCTAAACCCCTTCTCTACCAAAAAAACCCAAAAAATTAGCCGGGCTTGGTGGCACATGCCTGTTGTCCCAGCTGCTTGGAAGGCCGAGATGGGAGGATCAGTTGAGCCTGGGAGTTTGAGGCTGCAGTGAGCTGTGATTGTGCCATTGTATGCCAGCCTGGGGTGACATAGTGAGACCCTGTCTCAAAAAATTTTTTGTTTCAAATAAATAAAGAGGACTAGTTGAAGTTTGTTACTAGAACTTTAATCATGGCATTTAAGTAAACATAAATACTGGAACATTTTACTATAGGAATAGAAACAATTTTGGGTATTAAAGATAAGGATTTTGTTTTATAACAATAGAATTCACTATTTGTTTAAACTGTAGTCAGTATATTTGTAGTAAAATATTGAGTAAATTTTTAAATGTTTTCTTAAATGTATATGTCATTTAAAATATTTTATACTCATTTAATGTTATCACTCTTTTGAATAGTTGAGTCGTTTAGGATCTAGTTCACTTACAAATATACCTGAGGAAGTTCGTGAACATGTAAAGCTACTGTTAAATGTAACTCCAACTGTAAGACCAGATGCAGATCAAATGACAAAGGTGAGTACATGTGAATTTCTGCCTAAGACGAAGGGACAAAAAATGAGTTGAAGTAGATTAAGTTTTTGGATTTTCTTTAATTTTTTTTTCCCCCAGAGATCCCTGTTCTGCGATTAAGTTCTTCTAAAGCAACAGTCAGATACAGCCCCAAGTAACCTCTGTATCTTTGAATGTATTAAATATTCAGGTTTGCTTTGAATGTATTAAATATTCAGGTTCAGCTAAGTATGTACACAATTGCTCTGATAGAAAATTAAGATTTCAAATAAGCAGAGTGCTAACAGTCACAATTAAGTAAACAGATATTCTAGACTCCTGGACAATTCGTATTCCTTTATTTCACTCATATAACCATGGATTTTTTTTTTTTTTTTTTTAAGACGAAGTTTCACTCTGTCATCCAGGCTGGAGTATAGTGGCACGATCTCGGCTCACTGCAACTTCCACCTCCCAGGTTCAAGTGATTCTCATGCCTCAGCCTCCCAAGTAGTTGAGATTACAGGCACCCACCACCACACCTGGCTAATTTTTGTATTTTTTATAGAGACGGAGTTTCACCATGTTGGCCAGGCTGGTGTCAAACTCCTGACCTCAGGTGATCCACCGCCTCGGCCTCCCAGAGTGCTGGGATTATAGGCGTGAGCCACCGTGCCCAGGCCAACCATGGATTTTAACTAATAACTGGTATTTTTATGCTTTCAAGTTATTTTATTTAATCTTTCAATATTTTAGACTTAGTAAAAAAAGTTTTTACCCAGCCATTTCGCAGGTACAGATTCCAAAGATTTGAATTTTAAAAATAATTTATTTTCCTATTCAGAGTTTTATAATTAGAATATCTAAGGTGATCCTCGGCATTTTGCTAAATGTTTCTGAGTATTTTTTAAATCATATTGTGACAGTTTCAGATGAGAGAAGTACTTTCAACTTAACATTTATCAAAATACTTTATTTCCCTTTTTTTTTTTAGATTCCCTTCTTTGATGATGTTGGTGCAGTAACACTGCAATATTTTGATACCTTATTCCAAAGAGATAATCTTCAGAAATCACAGTTTTTCAAAGGACTGCCAAAGGTTCTACCAAAACTGCCCAAGGTTTGTTGTTGATAGTTCTTATTAATAACCAGGATTTTAGAAGTTTAATGTTTATTTTGACTTACTACCATAACTCTTCCAAGGAAATAGTGTAACTTTGCCTGAGGTACCTAAGTGACTATAAAACACTGCTGACTGAAGCCAAAAGTTCAATGGACCTTTTTTTGCATGGTCCAAAAATAAATAGAATAAAAAATTAAGAAGGATACTAACTAGGCAGAGACAGCAGTTGGATATTAAAGGTCAGAAGAAGAGTCCACAAGCTATCATGTGGAGTTCACTGTCTCACCAGCAATTAAAGGGGTACCTCTGTTGATGTAAGCCTTTCCAATTCCTTTACTCCTTTTCTGACTTATTAAATGATGAGTGTAATACAGTTTTTAAAATGTTGGTGAATGCTGAAGAGGAATACTGGTTGGAATACTAATAATTCCTGGTTGTAAAAACATTTCCAGTGTTTAATCTATCAGATATTCGTTGGTTACCTACTGTTTGTCTGACCCTTTACTTACATGCTATGGAGAGTAAAGATGAGGCATAAAATATTGTCCCTGCTTTCAGGCCCTTATAGTAAGTGTAGCTAGGGTTAACATGTGAAACAGTTAACAGTACATGATAGTGTTTATGTTGTGTGATATGAATCATAAGTAATGAAGGAATTAAGAGAGAAACAAACATAGCCATGAAGACTAATTAGGGAAGGTTTCCTACAGGTAGGGTGACTGTGTGTCCCCTTTTACTCATGACCTTTCCAGTATATGCTATTTATCCTTGCATAATTAGCAATAACATCCCATTGTACTCTCAAAATATACCAGTTTCCATCATAAATTGTACGGTCACCTTACCTAAAGAGATTAGAGGTTTCAGACTGTAGTGCTAATTAATACTAAAAACCTGAAATAAATTTTATTTTTTTATAAAAAAACATTTTTGCCTTTCAGCGTGTCATTGTGCAGAGAATTTTGCCTTTTTTGACTTCAGAATTTGTAAACCCTGACATGGTACCTTTTGTTTTGCCCAATGTTCTACTGATTGCTGAGGAATGCACCAAAGAAGAATATGTCAAATTAATTCTACCTGAACTTGGCCCTGTGTTTAAGCAGCAGGAGCCAATCCAGGTATGTTCTAGATATTTTTGTGTATTTATCTACTGTTATTTATGATGGTGACTATCACTGAAAACAAAAGGAATGAATATATGACTTAAAAATAACTGAGGTAAGTGTACGAGACTTTCTTTTCCATTAGTGAGAAAGCCACTTTACATGTTCGAGGCAAACTATTTTTAAAATTATGATTGAGCTTTGCAGTTAAACGTCTATAGCTCTCCGTAAGTTACCATCTTAGAAAATAAACTGCAATGAAATTTTGCATGTGTTACACTGTTCTTTGTGTACTCTATATATACTTTGTAGAAAGTTACAGATTTAGGAAAATAAATACTTATTTTTCTCTTGCACTTTGAAGTATTAGAAGTATTTTTGATTATTTTGTTATTTAAGTCTTTAATATTTAGGTGCTTTTTGCCAGTTGTTTCTCTCCATTTTATTGCTAATAACTACTTCCAGTAGAATAGGAAAATGCTTACAGCACCATGGAAATAATGTATATGTGTATTGTAAGTGAAAAAAGTAATCAGTCTCTCATGTACATGATGTATATTTGCTACATTCAAGGTAATGTTGGATTTAAGAGCAGTAGGGTCACATACCTGGGTTGAACTGTGGCTTCTTTATCTCCTTACTTGAAGTATGACTTCCGTCATTACCATCTTAAAGCTTCTATTTCCTCATTTCTGCAGTGAAAAGGATTGCTGAGATTAAATGAAATTTTCTGGCACATAGCAGATATTGTTACATGTTTGTACCACTGTATAATAATAGCTTATTAGTTATATATCAAGTATCTCATTTAATGGTTTTATGATTCTTTGTAGTCCTTCCCTTGAAAGGAGGGGAACAGAAGCAAGTATGTGGTGGTAAGGCGAGAGTTTCTGTGGATTAGGGAAAGAACAAGTGAGGGAGCGGTAGCCTTTGAAGCAGGATTCCCCTAAATGTTCAAGGTGTCATGAGGGAATGTTGGTGGAGCCACTGTTCCCTAAGCTATGCATCAGTCAAGATAGTACCCTCAGGAACCTATAATCTGAATTCTTATTTGTCTCCATTCCTTTTTCTCTTAGTTGTCCAGTTAAAAATACCTTTTGGGCCAGGTGCTGTGTCCCACGCCTGTAATCCCAGTTCTTTGGCATGCCAAAGCAGGCAGATTGCTTGAGCTCAGGGGTTCAAGACCAGTCTGGGCAACATGGTGAAACCCTGTCTCTACAAACAAATACAGAAATAAGCCGGGTGCCTGCCTGTGGTCCCAGCTACTCAGGAGGCTGAGGTGGGAGGATCACCTGAGCCCTGAGAGGTCAAGGCTGTGGTAAGCTATGATCGCGCCACTGCACTCCAGCCTGGGTGACAGAGTGAGTGAGACCCTGTCTCAAAAAATAAAAAAACATTTTTTTCTTCTGAATATTCTTCCCTGAGTCTTGGCAAAACTAATTTCTGCATAAATAGAAGGGGCAGTATGTTCCTTATAATTTTGGTATGTGGAAGAATGACCAGGGACAACTTAAAAACATTTTTTTCTAAAATTTTTTTGTAAGAGATAGGGTCTTGCTATGTTGCCTTGGCTGGACTCAACTTCTGGGCTCAATCAATTCCCCTGTCTCAACCTCCCAAATAGCTGGGACTGCAGGTATGTGCCACTGTACCTGGTATCTGGAATTTTTTCTTACACTCCTTCTCAGTTCTGTACTTTCTCTTTTTCTCTTGAGCTTCATAGAAGCCAAGTGATGGAATTTACTTCTTTGGGATATCTCACTTTACTGGCTTTTTTCACCCTGTAGCTTTCCAGATAGTTGGTACATGTGGGCAAGTGATGGATTACTGTAGACATGTGAGAGGAGATTAGTCTTTATTTAATTAACATTTAAACTCAGAGCAGATGTTAAATATTATGCCTCCAGAAATGTAAGAGACTTGATTTGTATGTTTTTGTCTTCCACGCCTTCAGGCTAGCAACATGGTGAGTGTCAAAATATATGAGTTATTCTTTTGAAGAAGCTTTACATTTGGCATATATTGAATCTCTTAAAGATTCCAGGTTTTAATACGTTGTTTCCATTTTCCAAACAGATTTTGTTAATTTTCCTACAAAAAATGGATTTGCTACTAACCAAAACCCCTCCTGATGAGATAAAGAACAGTGTTCTACCTATGGTTTACAGAGCACTAGAAGCTCCTTCCATTCAGATCCAGGTACAGTATTTGATTTGTTTTTCTTTAATGATGATTTTGCTTCTTAAAGCAGAAAAAGAGGCATAAAGTACATTTTGGATTTAAATCATAAAATATGTAACTCAATAGTAAATATATTTATCTTTTGAATCACATTATTGATATACTGTAACTAAAATATATTCACTCCTAACTAATTTAAAGAATCAGTGTATTGTAAGTGAAAAAAGTAATCAGTCTGTCTATGTAATACCTATATTATGAGGTCGATTTGTTGCTTTTATTTATCAGAAATGTACTATTATGGAAGAAGATGTGATATATTGTAGTTTGTATTATTGTATACCTTCTTCTTTCTGCTTCTTTGTAAACTGATAATTATGAACAAAAATTCCAAAGATACATGTACCTTTTTCTTTTCTTTCTTTTTTTTTTTTTTTTTTTGAGGCAGAGTCTTGCTCTGTCACCCAGGCTGGAGTGCAGTGGCGCAATCTCGGCTCACTGCATCCTCCACCTCCTGGGTCCAAGCGATTGTCCTGCCTCAGCCTCCCTAGTAGCTGGAACTACAGACACCTGTCACCACACCTGGCTAATTTTTGTATTTTTAGTAGAGACGGGGTTTCGCCATTTTGGCCAGGCTGGTCTCGAACTCCTGACTTCAGGCGATCCTCCTGCCTCAGCCTCCCAAAGTACTGGGATTATAAGCCTGAGCCACCATGCCTGGCCACATGTGCCTTTTTCTCATGAAAACATTGAGTAGGTATTTTCCCATACTCATAATTTTCCTTCATGCTTGGTAACTTAGTTTTCTATGTAGAGATGCTGTTTCTTCTGCAGTGAAGTTAATTTGTACAGCAGGTAGATGGAAAAGCAAACAGTAATTTAGTGTGACCGTTCTTAATGCATGTATAGTCATACTTTTGTTCCACAAAGGCAATCTTAAAACACCATATACTTTGCCAAACTGTTAGTTTTGCAGTCTTTGCGATTAAAATTTTGGTTCTATGAATTCTTTGTCTGAAAGAAATTCCAGATCACTATTAAAAGTGTAATTTAGTTTTTTCACTTTGAAAATACATACTTATGTTAAGAACATCTCACTGCACGATGGTTTCATAGTAAAAGCTTATAGTCTCTGCTAGCATAGACATTTTAATAAAATAGGATTTTTTTAAAAGTTATTTACTCTAAAGCTTTTTTTTCTTAATATGAACCTAATACTGCATATTTAAGGTCACTTTTTGGACTTAATTCAGTCTTTCTCTGCTAAGTTATTTCGTTTGTTCAAGGCTGTAAGGTTGATGTTAACATTTTTTTCCTTATAATTAGATTTGCCTTCTTAAAGGTGAGGGTATGTATGCTGCCTTTGTCCAAATGACATGGATGAGTGGGGAAGGTGTGTCTACCCCTGTTTCTTAGTTCTTTCTAAGGAAATTGTGAATTATAGCCTCACAAAACCTTACCACAGGCTCTTTGCAGCCAAGCTTGTTTTGTATTTAGTGATATTAAAGAAGAGGGAGGGGAAGATTAAGTGATATGAAATTCATTTTTCATTATAGTTAGTTTGGCCAGTAAGTGTCAGCAAGTATTTTATTGAAGTAGTATATAATTCGGATTGACTTTTGTAACTTTGCTAAGTTTTGGAAACCAGCATTTCTTTCTTTTTTTGTTTTTCAGGCTGGAGTGCAGTGGCGCAATCTTGGCTCACTGCAACCTCCGCCTCCTGGGTTCAAGCAATTCTCGTGCTTCAGCTTCCCAGGTACCTGGGATTGCATGCATGGGTGACCATGCCTGGCTAATTTTTTTTGTATTTTTAGTAGAGACAGGGTTCACCATGTTGGCCAGGTTGGGGAAACCAGCATTTCTGGTACCATTCAGTGTAAGTCTTTAGTCACGAAATTAGCACTGCTTAGTTGATAAAGCATATCTAAACAATTAGGAGAGTCCTAGAGAAAGCAAGAAATAAGAAATCTTTTCCTCAAGGTTCTTACAAATAGTAGGCTAGAAAGTAACATCTGCAATTCATTTTTAAATGGAAGTCTTTAAAGTTAAGTTTGATTAGAAATATTTAAGAGGCTAGAGATGGTTCTGAAAACATTTGTACAGGCAGAAGATGGTTTGCAAAAGGTAGAGTTCTTAAAAAGAGGCATTATAAACGTATATCAGACACAATTTTTGAAAATTGATTTACCTTTTAAATGGATATTGAAGTTATCTTCATCACCTCCACCCACCCATTATAAAGTGTAAAATAAGCAGAAGTTTCTGAGAATTTGCTAATTAGACTCCTTTGAGGTTTGATTTTGTGTTTTTCAATGTCCTGTTATTAAATTCCTCATCCTGGGCTGGGTGCCGTGGCTCATGCCTGTAATCCCAGTGCTTTAGGAGGCCAAGGCAGGGGGATCACCTGAGGTCAGGAGTTCGAGGCCAGCCTGGCCAACATGGCAAAACCCCGTCTCTACTAAAAAAAAATACAAAAACTAGCTGGGTGTGGTGGCAGGCACCTATAATCCCAGCTACTTAGGAGGTTGAGGCAGGGAGAATTGCTTAAATGTGAGAGGCAGAGGTTGCAGTGAGCTGAGATCGTGCCACTGCACTCCAGCCTGGGCGACAGAGTGAGACTCCATCTCATAAATAAATAAATAAAAGTTCCTCATCCTGTCTCCTCTTTGGGAGAGAGCTCTCTCCTACATTAGCTAAGTGATTTAGACAGAATTTAAGATTTGCCTCTTTGTAATGTCCTGCTCTGAGTTTGATTGGATAGCATGGCACTTTCCAGTCGCTTTTTAATAATACAGGTGTTAGGGGGTCCTTTCCTATAAGTCTGCCTGTCTCTGTCTCTCTGTCTTAAAGTCTGATCTTCTATAAGGAAGCTCCTTATGGGAATATAGGAACGTAGTGTCCCACTGACTCCTTACCCTTGCCTATTCTTTTCTCCCAAATGTGGTCCTTAATTAATTAATTAATTAATTTATTTTTGAGACAGGCTTTCACTGTGTTGCCCAGGCTTGAGTGCTGTGGCCCAGACTTGAGTGCAGTGGCACAATCTTAGCTCACTGTGGCCTTGACCTCCCATGCTGTCTCAGGCTCAAGTGATCCTCCCTCAGCCTCCCTAGTAGCAGGGACCACAGGAACACACACCACCATGCCTGGCTCTTTTTTAAATTTTATCAGTCACTTAATTATTAATAGTTCTGAGTGGATGCAAACAATTAACTCTCTTACATTTGCCTTTTGGAAGCCTAAGAATAAGTTAAAGCAAATAAAATATATCCAGTGTTCTAATAACAGATTCTTAGTAGTTAATTTATTTCTACCATCTAACTATAAATGGATGTCTTGAAGTTTGCCTGGTATTTTCAGTAGTATCCTTCCTAATTCACATTTGTGCTTCCATTTTCCTCAGTGATCCCTTCTCCTATGCTTTGCTACAAGGATCATCTCTCATAACGTGCCTGAGATGTGTGCACTTCAGCCAGTTAGTTCTCAAGCCATTTCTTCTTCTTTTCATTTTCTCATTTGGTTCGCTAGCCCCCAATCTTCCCTCCGTTTTCCTGTTACTCCCAGAATTACCAGTTATCATTTCTACTATGGTACCACATTAGTTAACAAGAATCTTTAAATCTTTTTTTCCCCATTTCTGAGTTATGCTTGCTTTAAGTTTCAGAATTTGGAAGTACTTACAAGTACAAAAAAAAATATTAAAATTCACTCTCACAGATGACTATGGTTAACATTTTCAGATATATCTTTCTAGTCTTTTTTCCTAAGCCTGTAGATAGACACAGGTGCCTACACATTTTAGAACTTGGGATTAGGTACAGTAGCTCACACCTGTAATTTCGGCACTTTGGAAGACTGAAGTGGGAGGATCCCTTGAAGCCAGGAGTTTGAGACCTGCCTGGGCAACATAGTGAGACCCTGTCTGTACCAAAAGTAAAAGATGATAAAATTAACCAGGCATGGCGGTGCGTGCCTGTAGTGCCAGCTACTTGGGAGGCTGAGTTGGGGAGGAGGATCACTTGAGCCCAGGAGGCTACAGTGAGCTATGAATTTGCCTCTGCACTCCACCCTAGGTGACAGAGCAAGACTCCCCCCCTCAAAAAAAAAAAAAAAACAAGAAATTTTTTTTTAAATTGGGATTATATAATACTCTGTCCTCAATTTTCTTCTCAAAATTATTAAACACTCTTAAGGCCAGACTCTGGTTCATGCCTGTAATCTTAGCACTTTGGGAGGCCAAGATGAGAGGATCGCTTGAGCTCAGGAATTCGAGACCAGCCTGGGAAACAGGCTTTGTGAGACCTTGTCTTTACAAAGAATTGAAAAATTATCTGGGCGTGGACCAAGGCAGGTGGATCACCTGAGGTCAGGAGTTCAAGACCAGCCTGGCCAAATGGTGAAACCCCATCTCTACTAAAAATACAAAATGTTAGCTGGGTGTGGTGGCATGTGCCTGTAATCCCAGCTACTCGAAAGGCTGAGGCAGGAGAATCGCTTGAACCCAGGAGGCGGAGAATTCAGTGAGCCAAGGTTATGTCACTACACTCTAGCCTGGGCAACAAGAGCAAAACTCTGTCTCAAAAAAAAATAATTATTATAATAATAATAATAATTAGCTGAGCGTGGTGGCATGTACTTGCAGTCCCAGCTACTCAGGAGACTGAGGCCAGAGGATCGCACAATCCTGGGAGGCTGATGCTGCAGTGAGCTATGATTGTGTCACTGCACTCCAGCCTAGGTGACAGAGCAAGGTCCTGTCTCAAGAAAAAAAAAAATTTAAACACTCTTTTCAATGTATTTTTTAAAAAAGTGTTTGTATTTTACCATATGGATATATGTAACAGCTAAGAGAATTACTTGAGAGGAGTATTTTTACATGATTTCATACTTGATTTTCTCTTGTTATGAAAGATAGCAAAACTTATGTGTTCTTGTTATTTAAACATAAATGAGGACTTGTGTTATCAAAGAAAGAGATTAAGAATGAGATCAGGGAGTTTGGGTATTATGCACTAGTTATTATGACCTAGTATGACTTTGAGTAATGCCTTCTGAGCTTTTTTTCTCAGCTGTAAAACTGAAAAGTGATTATAACTATACATCCATTTTTCAAAGAGTTATTGAAAGGACCAAATAATACATATGAAAATTTATTTCAAACTATATGACAGTTTAGCCATGCAAATGCAAAACTTTATAATATCTGAGAGAAAAGATGAGTCTTTCCCTAATATTGATTCAGTTTATTTTCTTGATAGGAACTCTGTCTAAACATCATTCCAACCTTTGCAAATCTTATAGACTACCCATCCATGAAAAATGCTTTGATACCAAGAATTAAAAATGCCTGTCTACAAACGTCTTCCCTTGCTGTAAGTAATTGCATATTGATTTTTGTTTTTTTTTTTTCACTTGTTAGTGCTTTAAATCATTTTCTTATTGCTTAATAACCCTTTTATAGAATTCTGATGTATTTCATCTTGGCTGTAGATAACCTGTATATAGTACTATAAAAATGAGCTGTTTTCTTTGATACATAATTTATAATATTGCATTCCTAACCTTACTTGCTGTCTCTTTACTTTGCGTGCTTCAGTAAAAAAGTTGGGTGATTATTTTTTTCTTAATCCTTTTCTGCTTTAACTCAATTTATTTTGTTGTTAGTTTAAAAATATGAGAGTTTAACTTGGTATCTAAGCCTAAAAACTTGTTGAATAGTTTCCTTTTATAAATAGCCTTTATTTTTAGTTATTGGTCTCTAAATTTCTTATTTCTCACTGACTTGCTTACTTTTTAAAAAAGTAGAGTACAATAAAGCAATAAGTTAATATGAATACAAGTAAGAGAAACAGTTGTACTAAAAAATGTAGACCAAGGGAATAGTTGCCTTCTTTGAATACAAAATTTTAACATTCAGTTACTTGTTAGTCAAGGAAGGTAGAAGTGATAACGAAGTTTTCATTATCTCATATTGAAAGCAATAAATGTCCCCAACCTTTTCTCTAACACTAAATATAATAGTTTATCACATGGATATTTCTTTATAGAAGTAATTTTGAATGCTGTCTTCAAAATAGCAGCTTTAAAGAGGGAGAAATGTTCTCTTTTGCCTAACCAGTTCTTTATATTGATTTTTGATAATGGGCATATTATTAAATTTGCATTTTGTAAAGCTAGTTCTCTGGAGATCCCATCTTTATCTGATGGAATGTGAATTTAAATAAAAATAAACAGCTTAATAAAATTATAGGCAAAAGCAATTTGAATGATATGATTTTATCTTATAGCCATTGAATCTATTTTAGTTCATGTTTCTTGGTCGAAAGGCTTTGAAATGGAAAATGTAACATCAAAGTAGAAAAACAAATCATTACTGAAACAAACAAGCGTGAAATGAAATAAAGTCAAGAAGCTTTAGTTCTCATTCTCACTTTGTTACTAACAACCCCTGTGACCTTGAAAAGTCACTGTGCCCCTCTGAGTCTTTTCAAAACATCATTAAAAATAGCTGTTTTTGTTGAAATTCTCAATTTTATGATTGAATTTTCAAAATAGATGGTAGTAATATAAAGCTTAACATTTAGTTTTCAAAATGCCCTTTAGAAGATGTTATAATCATACTATATGCCTTATTTTATGGCAGCATAAATTTATTTTAACATACATTTTCTCAAAGTACATGTTGTAGGCCGGACATGGTGGCTCATGCCTTTAATCCCAACGCTTTGGGAGGCTGAGGCGGGTGAATCCCGAGCTCAGGAGTTCAAGACCAGCCTGAGCAACACAGCGAGACCTCATCTCTACTAAAAATAAAAAAATTTAGCTGGGTATGGTGGCATGGCGGGAGGATCACTTGAGACCAAGAGGTTGAGGCTGCAGTGAGCTGTGATTGTGCCGCTGCCTTCCAGTCTAGGTGTCAGAGCAAGCACCCCTACCCCCCAAAAAACAACAACAAAAAAATCCAAAACCAAAGCAAAACAAGAGTACCTGTTCTAGTTCAGTTCTGAGCATATGCAGGGGTATGTAGAAATGGGAAGCATGGATACTTAAATGATGTGAATTGCTGCCCAGTGATATTTATGTTTCTTTTAAAGATGCCAACTGGTCCTTAAGGCATGTTGTTTACAAGAAGTTGTAATGAATGTAATTATATTTAGAACAGTAACTAGGAGTGGATTTATATTTTATATGTCACCTTTTAAGTGGATTTTGGATAGCACTTTTAGTGCTTCTGCCTACCTTCAGAGTGGCAAATAGGAATTCCTAAATTGTATTCATAGTCCTATATCTCTAAAAGTTTAAAATTCTAATTAGGAAATTCCTGAATCATGAGTTAGAATTGTATCTTAACACTCTTCCCTGAAAATAAAATTTTTAAAAATTCTACAGTGTTAGGTAAAATGCTCCAAGAGCTATATTTATTCATTACTTACACGACTAATATTTTATATATCATAAAAGTAAATAAGTATTTTCAGTTTTGCTTAATATATATATATCTCAGTAGAATGCAGCTGTTCCTTTTATAAAACTGATTATAAGTAGAGCATTCAGATACCTTTTTGAATTTATAATATCTCTTGTGTTTGAATTTCAGAAAACAATTGTATGCTATTTTTTAGAAATGGAAAATTTTCCCCATTTTTCCTGTAGAACTATGGTGCTTTTTTAGCTAACAAAATTATTTTCTGCCTTTCTTGTTTAACTTTTTTTTGAAAACTGGAGTTTTATTAATACTGTGGTCCTGACTTAAAGATATTCTATCTTAAGAAATTCCAAATAGAAGTAGGGTATGATGTATTTATCAAATAGTCAAGTGAATATGGAATTTTGATAAAAGCTTCTAAATAAGAGTTCTTAATAACTGTGTATTTATAAATAGAAAACAAATATATGGATACCTTCACATGTTAAAATATTTAGTTTAAGAATGAACGAACCTAACTTAGAGTAAAATACTGGAATGTGGGTGAACTTGATCACTTGGTGCAAAGAATGTAGTCCTTTTTATTATTCAAATGTCCCCAAAGGAGTGTTCTTATGATAGTAACACATATGTAGTAAAAGTTTCTCAAATCCTAATCACTTTAAAATGTTACAAAATTGTAGTCATTCCTTGTCTTTATCTCACTGGTGACCTGGTAAAGCAGTCATAAATTCTTTGTGAGACAAACCAGGAAAATTAGTAAATAAGTGAATTTCCTATGTTCATAAAGAATGAGAGCCTCTAAATCTACTTTTATTCTTGAGACTTTAACATATTTATATGAAGATTAAGTTTGCACTTAAATATTTTGTTCTAGATTTTGAAAACTTTAAATGACTAATGCAATTTACCTTTTTTAATAGGTTCGTGTAAATTCATTAGTGTGCTTAGGAAAGATTTTGGAATACTTGGATAAGTGGTTTGTACTTGATGATATCCTACCCTTCTTACAACAAATTCCATCCAAGGAACCTGCGGTCCTCATGGGAATTTTAGGTAGCTGAAAATTTAATGTCATTTGATGCTGTTTTATCATGCAAATAAATTTTCCAATCTATAAAACCATTATACTCTCCTTTCGTGTATACAGCATTTCATAATTGAAGAATGATGAGATAAATATCATAATACAACTTTTCTCTTTAAGTTTAGCAAAAGCAGTAGAATCTTGATATTTATAAAGAAATAAGATGTTTAAGAATTCTAGCTTTACAAATATCGTGATAGTGTGTAGTTTTCCCCGTAAAGTGGTGCAAAGTGAGAGAGGCAAACAAAGCTACTAGAAATGCTGATACTGGTTTTAGTAGTAATACCTGAGGTTTATTTGATACTCAGTTTATAAGAGGCAAAGTATTTTCTCTGCATTACCTTATTTTGTTCTTCCCCAAATTCAATGAAATAGGCACTATTGTTTCTATTTTACAAGGAAACTGAGGCTCAGAGGTGTGAAATAAGTGATTCAAGATCATGCAAGTGATAAGTGGTAGGAGCTGGTTTACTAATATATTTTGTGGCTGACATGCTGATGAAGTATGTTAACCTTATAGGACATTCTGTACTATCAGCATAATTACAAATTACTAAGAAACTCTGAAATCATTTATATATAGTTAAAGTTATGAAAGTCCAATCTGGAAATGCCAGGGGTCTGCTGCACTATAACAGGCATAGGTAAAAAGTCACTAAAACATTAACAAGTTCATTTTTATTTAATTAAAGGTTGTTAATTTTTTTTTTTTCTTTTTTTTTTTTGAGATGGAGTCTCGCTCTATCGCCCAGGCTGGAGTGCATTGGTGCCATCTCGGCTCACTGCAACCTCCACCTCCTGAGTTCAAGCAATTCTCTGCCTCAGCCTCCTGAGTAGCTGCGATTACAGACACCTGCCACCACACCTGGCTAATTTTTTTGTATTTTTTGTAAAGACAGGGTTTCGTCATCTTGGCCAGGCTGGTCTTGAACTGCTGACCTTGTGATCTGCCTGCCTCGACCTCCCAAAGTGTTGGGATTACAGGCATGAGCCACCATGCCCGGCCTGGTTCTTTGTTAATATTTAAGAAAAACTATATTATTCATCCATGTATTCTTAACACCTAATGTAGTGCTTGGCCTGTAGAAACTGCTCAGTATTTGTGGGAATGGTTAGGAAGTATTTATTGTGGACCTCTGTAGACATAGAAGGTACTCTAGGGATATTGCATGAATCTTTTGTGCAGAAAGAAGTTTGTCTTCTTGGCTGGGTGCAGTGGCTGACACCTGTATTCCCAGCACTTTGGGAGACTGAGGTGGGCAGATCACTTGAGCCCAAGAGTTCAAGACCAGCCTGAGCAACATGGCAAAACCACGTTTCTACTGGAAATACAATAATTAGCTGGGTGTGGTAGCATGTGCCTGTAGTCCCATCTACTTGGGAGGCTGAGGTGGGAGAATCACATGAGCCAGGGAGGTTGAGGCTGCAGGGACCCATTATCGTGTCCCTGCATTCCAGCATGAGCAACAGGGCAAGACCCTGTCTCAAAAAAAAAAAAAAAAAAAAATGTCTTTTTGAGCATGAGTTTGGCATAGTAGAAATTCAAGCCCTGGCTCTAATCCTGGCTCTGTCAGTTCCTGAGGTGACTTTGAAAAGTTTATCCAATGAGGATGAGACTAACGTCATTTTAGGATTCTTGTGAGACTTCACTGAAACAAAGGGAAAGTAACAAACACAGTGCTCAGCAAATATGCATTTAGTCAGTGCCCAATAAAGTTACCCTTTGGATATGTAAGTCATGTGCACATTAACAGAATAATGGCGGATGGTATTTCACAAAGCTTTGGATTATGTACAAAACACTTAGAACTCAAAGGCATTCAGAGAATGAGGAGGAAGTGTACTCAGTTTACCAAATGAAGACTTTGTGGATAGATGTAACAAGTGGAGTATTGAAGATTGAGTAAATAGGTGAGACAATAGGGAAGGATTTTGTGGAGTTGAATTCAGTTATTAAATTTCAGACATGTTGAGTTTGATTTGCTAAAGAAGTGGATAAAGGTGTAGGACTTATATTTTGACTGTACCTATACTTACACCCTTTAAAATAGATACCTTGAGTATGATTTCTGAAGTATATATTTAGATGTTTCAGAATAAAAGGCCATTCTGTAACTTTACTGCTGCACAATAAGAATTGAACGTGGTTCTGATAAGCTTCTAATGTTATGCTGTCATTAAATGTGCTCCTAAACCAGAAGAACACAGGGTAAATATGTCGTGGTATTTAAATCTGGCCTGATGATAAAGGCTGAAATCATTCTGATTCATATGTAAGAACATCATTATTCTAGGCATTGATTGGGAAAAATTTGTACTACACAGATTATCAAGGGATTTTATATACATATATTATTTTCATGATTTCTATGAATTGATGGTGTTAACTTAGGAATTTGTCACATTCTTTTCTATCAGGTATTTACAAATGTACTTTTACTCATAAGAAGTTGGGAATCACCAAAGAGCAGCTGGCTGGAAAAGTATTGCCTCATCTTATTCCCCTGAGTATTGAAAACAATCTTAATCTTAATCAGGTAGGAGTATTTTTGTGCTTTATTCATTTTATTGAGCTTACTGTTTTCTTGGCATTAGATATATAAATATATTATAAAGATTGGTTAAAAAAAAAAGAAAAGAAAAGAAAAGGTAGGGGTAAAATATGCCACAGAACTAAATGAAGAAAGTTTGTGGGGTGACTTCATTGGTAAGTAGTAAATGAGCAGGATGTTGAAAAATATGTAGGATTTGGGACTACTTTAAATCTAGGGCTGGGAAATTGACATGAATGAAGAACAAAGTTATAGAATGTGTTTGGGGAGTATATTCATTATTTATTGATTGCTACAGAACAAACACCACAAACTTAGGAGTTTAAAGCAACACACATTTATTATCTCACAGCTTCTGTGGGTCAGGCCAGGACATGGCATAGTTGGATTCCCTGCTCAGGGTTTCTCACAGTGCTGTCTATAGTCAAGAACTTGGGGCTCATTCAAGGCCCAGCTACAGAGTGATCTGCTTCTCAGTGCACTTACATGGTTTTTGGCAAGCTTCGGTTCCTCTTGGGCTGTTGTGCTTAGGGCCTCCATTCTTAGCTATTAGCTGGATGCCACTGTCAGTTCCTAGCCACGTGGGCCTTTCCAACATGGCAACTTGTTTCATCAAAGCCTGCAAGAGAGAGTCTGCTAGCAAGACTGAAACTACAGTCTCTTGTAATCAAGGAAGTGATTTCCCATCACCTGTGCCATAGTCTGTTGCTTTAGAAGCAAGTCACAGGTTCAGCCCACACTCAAAGATAGGGGATTCCACAAGGGCATGAATGACAGGAGGAAGAGATAATTGGGGACCATTTTAAGAGTCTGTATACCACTTGGAAGGAATAATTCAATTTGATTGGGAGATATATATAATACAGTAGGAGAATAATGGGAGAAAGGTACATTGAGACTAGAATAGGTAGACTTAAAATGTCTGTCTCGTTTAGGTATTTGAACTTTCAAGGTGTGGTAAATGTTTGAGCTAAGGAATAATGTGTCCAAAGAATACTGTGGAATTGTCTCTCTGCATACCTCTATCGCTGTTTGTCACAGCTGTGTTCTTATGTGACTGATTCTTCCTAAAGATTAGAAATTCCTCAAAGGTTATTAGAGCTTATTCTTCATTATAGCCCCAGCACTTAGTGCAATGACAGAACCAAAAATATTTATTGAATTGAGAGAAAATTGAGGTATAGAGTAGATGGGTCATTTTTATTCACAGCAGAACTAGTATTTAATGAAATATAATGGAAAAGCCTGAGTTGGGTTACTGTTTAACTGAGAGCATCAGAGATGGATAGGCAGGGAGGATTTAGAACCGAAAGTGAATTACAGCAATGAGGGAAGCAGAAAGCTGGAAGTTGAGAGCTTTTGGCATTGGGGAGAGTGCTGAGCGAGCAGAGTTTTGGGAGGCAGAGAAATTTATAAAACTAATCAGAACAAACATTTCATTTGAAGTAATAGGGTAAGTCTCTGTAAATTAGTTCCTTGGTTTTATTGTATTTATTTATTTTTTTTTTTGAGATAGAGTCTCGTCCTGTCACTCAGGCTGGAGTGCAGTGGTGCAGTCTCACCTCACTGCAACCTCCGCCTCCTGGGTTCAAGCAATTCTCATGCCTTACCCTCCCTAATAGCTGGGATTACAGGCGTGAGGCACCATGCCTGGCTAATTTTTGTGTTTTTAGCAGAGATGGGGTTTCACCGTGTTAGCCAGGCTGGTCTCAAACTCCGAATCTCAAGTGATCTGCCTGCCTTGGCCTCCCAAAGTGCTAGGATTACAGGCGTGAGCCACCACGCTCGTCCCCTAGATTTTAATTTTTGGTTTGGTAATTTCTTCGTATCTTGGATAGCAGAGTTGAGGTTAGGGTGGGCAAAGAAGGGAGATGGTGAATATTGGGGAGGAATAGGATAATATGCCTAAAACAGTCTTCAACTTTTTGTCATTTCTGTTCTTAGTTCTCATATTTCTGATTTAGTGTGTTTTTAAATATTCCCAAATGCTTATTTTAGGATATGTAGGCTCACTCCTGTCATCCCAACACTTTGGGAGGGGAGGGTTAGGTGGATCACTTGAGCTTAGGAGTTTGAGACCAGCCTGGGCAACATGGTGAAACCCCATCTCTACAAAAATACAAAAATGAGCCAGGTGTAGTGGTGTGCGCCTGTAGTCCCAGCTACTAGAGGGAGCTGAGAGAGGAGGATTGCTTGAGCCTGGGAGGCGGAGGTTGCAGTGATTTGAGATTGCACCACTGCACTCCAGCCTGGATGACAAAGCAAGACCCTGTCTCTAATTCCATTTGAAATGTTGTGTTGACTTACTTCAGCTTAGTGTTTGTTTTTGTTTTGTTTGGGGGGTGGCTGTTTTCATCAACAAATACATTGATTCATATCTTCTTGTATTTTACAGTAGTTTAGCATGGATGTGGTCTGCCTTCCCATTTGTTTCATGTCAGGGTTTCTAATTTAAGACTGCCTTCTTAGTTCCTTTCTGATTTAAGATGATTTAAGTATATTATACATGAAGTGACAAAGTAAGTAACTTAGGAAAATACATTTTCAACATTTGAATAAAAAACAGCAAATGCCCTGCAGCAGTCCACTGAATAATCAATAACTTGTGTTTGAGGGGGGTTCCTAAGACCACTCCCAGAATGGATGATTCAGTAGAAGGACTCACAGGACTCAGCATAGAGTTATGCTCAGGCTGTGCTCTATTATGGTGAAAAAATATAAAGCAAAATCAGGCAAGGAAAAAGGTTCATAGGACAAAGTCTAGGGAAACCAGGCACAAGCTTCTAGAGTCTTTTCCCAGTGAAATCACGTAGGATTCCCCTTGTAATGACTTGTGATAATCTGTGTGAAATGTTGCCAACCAGGGAAACTCATTAGAGATTCAGTGTCCAGAGTTTTCAATGAGGGCTGATGAAGTAACACCCTCTGCCTGGCATGTACTCAAATTCCAAACTCCCAGAAGGAAAACAAGTGTTCAGCATAGAACATATTCTTTGTACAAACAGTTTAGGCAAGTAAGCCACTGTTGCCGTTAATAATAGAACCTTTCTGAAATCTGAGTTCCCAGACACCAGCTAAAGGCCAATTTTGGAAGCAGGATTTTTCAAGGATAGCAGTTTATGCCTACAATGTTAACTCTTTCCTGCACAAACTACATTTAACAATATGGATGAATCTCACAAACATGTTGAGTGAATGAAGCCAGGCATAGACGAGGATCTGCTGAATGATCCATTTATGTAAAGTACAACAGTCTAAGCTATGCTGCTAGAAGTCAGAATAAAGTTTACTCAAAGGGTGTGAGGGTGAAAAATGACTGGAAGCGGATATAAGGAAGCCTCTGGGATGTTGACAACGATTTTGCTTTGTTTTTGTTTTTGTTTTTTGAGACGGGGTCTCAGTCTGTCTCCCAGGCTGGAGTGCAGTGGTACAATCTCAGCTCACTGCATCCTTGACCTCCTGGGCTCAAGTGATCCTCCCACCTCAGTCTCCCAAATAGCTAGGACTACAGGCATGTACCACCACTCTTGGCTAATTGTTGTATTTTTTGTAGAGACGTGGTCTTTCCATGTTGCCCAGGCTGGTCTCAAACTCCTGGGCTCAAGTGATCTTCCTGCCTTGGCTTCCCAAAGTGCTGGGACTACAAGTGTGAGCCATGTGCCTGGACCAATGTTGTTTCTTTATCTGGCTACTAGTTACATTGGATGTGTTCAGTTTGTGTGAATTGTGATTTTTTTTTTTGTCTGGGCACTTTAACATGTATACTTTTCTGTTAGTATATTATACTTCAATAAAAAGTTTTAGAAACCCTAATCAGTGGAAAGTCAGTCATAGTAAACTGCTTTGGAAACATGCCTTTTGACTTTCTCATAAGATGAAGAAGCTGCTGCCGATACAGCATGGTGAAAGGCAGTGTAATGTAGTAGAAAAGGGTGCAGACTTTGGAACCAGGCTTAGGATGAATTCTAACTCTGCCATATGAGCTCTCTAGCATCTCTGAGTTGCTTTACCTCTCATTGAGCCTGAGTTTCCTCATTTGTAGATTAGAAATATTAGTGAACCTACTTTGAAGAGTTGTGAGGATTAATAAAATAGTGTATGTATAAACACTCAACACAAAGATGTAATTATAAGATTTGGGGAAAGGAGGAGAGCCATTTCTAGATTCTTCCTGTAACATATGGTGTTATTCAAATAAGTTGTTTATGATGATCCTGAAGTACCATAGGGATGAATGATCAGCAGTTGACCAAAGTTAGCCAAAGCTTAAACTATATTAAGACATAGTGCTAGGTATGCTTTATGAAATTTAATTATTTGAAAGTTGGATTATGTACATTTAATATTTCGACTATCAGAAAACAAGGTTTATTTTAGCCAGATATGTCATTGCAATCTGAATAAGCAGGAATTTTCTATGCATATTAAATGGATTATTTCTAGTTCGGCACAAATTCAGATGTTTAATTTTGAAGATCAATATATAACTGCCACGGGTGAATTTATACAAGGCCCCTGAATAATAGCAATTAAACAACTCAGGATATAAAACTCATTATTGAGACATGTTTTCTGGAACTTAAAAGCCTCATCAACTATCATATCATCACTATACAAAGATATTATAAAAGCTTGCTATGATATCCCAAATTTAAATGCATCATTCTTAGTGAATATCAGTGCTGTGACTGGATCCTATTCTACTGGTAAAAATAGAGAATATTATGATTAACTTAATGAAATTATCTTAATTGATTACATTTGCTGCTAACTTGAAACATTGTAACCATATCAATTTCTCATTATACCAGTTCAATTCTTTCATTTCCGTCATAAAAGAGATGCTTAATAGATTGGAGTCTGAACATAAGACTAAACTGGAGCAACTTCATATAATGCAAGAACAGCAGAAGTAAGTAGGTTGCACATGAATTATATGTGGTCCAGGAGTGAGATTATAGTTGTCTTATGATTGATTTTCTGGAATATGGAATAGAAAAATTGTTGGATTTAAATTTGAACATATGTAAAACATTTCAAAATTTACCATCGTATTAATAAGTTGAACTGAATTAACATACAATGTGGTTGAAAAATCTAGTGTCACTTCTGAGTACAGAAGTTTAATATGATATAATTTTAGCATTTTGTCTACATAAAGAAAAGTCTGTTTCTGAGAAATCCCTTGTCAGCAATAGCCACTAGCATTGTAAACTCAGGTTGATGAAAACTAAAAGCACCACTTATGAAAATTTGTTAAATTTATGAACTTCTAGTGTTTTGATTTTTTTTCATTCTCTTTTCTCTAGCCCCAGAAACATTTATAGGACATTCGTTTCATATTTAACATCACAACATTCACCTCTTTTTATTTTTAGGGAGGATTTAAAAAATTATTTGCAGAAAACTAGTATTCAAATAAGAAGGCAAAGATGGAAATCGTTGACTGTTGAATCCAGTTTATTAAAATCAAAGCCCCACTGTATTCTTTGCTCCAGAGTAAAACACATGAATTTAGGATACCTATTAAAGTTTAATCCTGAACCAAAAAACATCTAAAAATCAGTAAAATTAATACAAATCATGTACAGGGTCCCCAAGTAGAAACTCTTTAGCTTCTGCCCACAAGATGAAGACTTAAAGTAAATACACATGGTATAGAAGTAGGTGAAATAGCCCTTTGTATGCTTGAAGTATTCTATAGTGTATATGTATGTGGTCTTTGATGGATTGACTATGTTAACATAAAAATCTGGAGAAATAATTTTTAAAATGCATTATAGGTAGAGATCAATTTTTAATACCAAGTATTTATATTTGAGTTGGGAAATGAACCCTTCCTTTTTCTTCCTTCTATTTAAATCTTACCTGTTTCTTAGGACATAGATCTGGCTCACATAACAGTGATTATAGCATTCATTGTTAGTGTGATTATAGCATTTCTCAGGACATAGATCTGGCTCACATAGCAGTGATTATAGCATTCATTGTTAGTGATTATATCATTCATGTTAGTACAGACTCAGAACTTAATCACATTAAATTCCCCATATCATATCTTGTCTTGCAGTGAGATGTTAAGCTCTTTGATAAGAGCCATGCTTGAGTGGTTTTATGACACCTTGAATAAATTCTCCAGTAAATCCCAAATGTTGAGTTTAAGAAATGGACTTACATACAAATGTTATTTTGGGGGCAAGCAAACATTAACAGTAGAAAATAATGGAAAAGATGACTCCTCTTAAAGAATGAAACCACAGTTTAATTGGGGTCTAATAAATTCCGTGTGGATAAATAATTTTTAGCATGAGTATTTAAAAATATACATTTCTTTTTATTGTTTTGTTATAATTCAACTCTCCTACAGATCTTTGGACATAGGAAATCAAATAAATGTTTCTGAGGAGGCAAAAGTTACAAATACTGGGAATCAGGTAAGAAGATACTTAATTTTTGTAGAAAGTGCTTCATTTGGAGGGCTTTTAATCTTTAAGCAACAAAATCACATTTTTATTGAACTTATTTAAATTACTGACATTTTTCTATTTCAGCAAATTGACAAGGTTTTTAACAACATTGGAGCAGACCTTCTGACTGGCAGTGAGTCCGAAAATAAAGAGGACGGGTTACAGAATAAACATAAAAGAGTGAGTTTCCTTATTGTTCTTTCAGCCCTCTTATTTATACTACAGGACTTCCTGTAAACCACAGATTTTTGTTGGGAAATGCTGTTCAGCAGCTTAACAAGAAACATTTGTAATTATCTTTCTGAAATTTCTTCATCAGTTAAACATGACCCTAACCCATTTTGAAAATAAATGTACTTAAGATTTTTAGCTTCCATTATTACTTGACTTGCTACAAGGTAATATTTATAGACTCCTTGTCTCCTTTGTCCTTTCTCTTGTACTTTGGCAGTCACACTCCTTGGTGAATCTCACCGTCTGTCTTCTCTGCTTCTCCTCCTGTGTTGATGGCTTCTACTATAGATTTGTGCTGCCCAGCTACCTTAGGCTATCTCTGATTGTTGCTCGTCAGTATTTTAATTTCTGTCCCACTCACTACATTCCCAACAGTTTGAGTTCCAAACTCTTTCCATTCTTTTTGAGCCTAGCAACCTCATCTTCTGTCATTTCATGGTGTCAAATTTTACAGTCCATCAGATTTTCACTTTGACACTTTCACAGAGTACTGGTCAGCTATTTGGTAGCATGGCCATCAATTTGAGTTTGTCTTGTGTTTTCTCATAATTGGATTAAAGTTGGACATTTTTGACAGGCATACTACAGAAGTGATGATGTACCCTTCTTGGTTTATTCCAGCAGGGGTACATGATGTATACATTACTTATTAATGGCAGACCAACAATATTTTAAAGAGGATTTTCAAAATAGATCTTATTCCATCTCATAAGTAGATAAAAAATCTGAGCACATTTTTTTCTTCTCTATTTCTTGCTAAAATTTTGCTCCCCCTCTGATTTTGAATATTAAACTATAATAGGATACTTTCTTCTTGGTTAGCATCCAATAAAAAAAACTGTAAGTCAGTTTGTGACTTCTGCTGAGGGCATTCTTCTATTCATTCATAAATGTGAATACCTGTATGTGTAAAGCCAAAGGACTACTGGACATAGTAGTTTACAAAATTATAAGAGAACATTGTGAGCTTTTAGTTTAGCAAAGTTGATAAAAGACAAGACATCGAATTTGCTGTAGACATCAGCAGTGAAAGAACCGCGTGTTGTTTCATTCTTTCTTTGCTTTTTATGAGTTCCTAAAATATTCTTGGGGTGAGATAGATTAGAGTTTAAAAAGATTTCCCAATTCTTGAGAATGAAATCACTAAATCATATTGTCATTGTCTGGAAAAGGATGATTCTAGTGAATGGTTTAAAAATAATTATTATTTTCATACTGGAAGTATTTTTGCACAGATCCTGTGAGTTTTTATTTAAAGTTAGATTGTATAGTGATTTGAAATACAACTTACTGTGACAATCACCAAGACAAGAGTAGTTTGCTTTTCAGTGAAGTAGTAAGATGTCCTTTACCTGAAGAGGTAACTTTTGTTTTACAAATGGACTTAAGAAATTGCCAGTTGATTTTTTGCTTTATTTTCTTTTAAGGCATCACTTACACTTGAAGAAAAACAAAAATTAGCAAAAGAACAAGAGCAGGCACAGAAGTTGAAAAGCCAGCAGCCTCTTAAACCCCAAGTGCACACACCTGTTGCTACTGTTAAACAGGTCAGAGTTCATTTCTTTTGCATAATTTCAAGAATACTACTGTTAAGGAGTAAGGTGGTATAGAACTTAGTCTACTAGTATTTGTATAAAAATGTATCTCAAATAATACCTTAATGTGTGGTTTCTAAGAAGTATGGGCATAAACGATTCTCCAACTCTGCTATAACCTGCCTAATGTACCGTGTTTTGTGACAATGCTTGTTACCAACAAAGAAGAAGCTAGAGGAATAGGATTAGGACTCATAGTGCTCACTCAACTCTGTTCACCCTGAAGTGATCAGAATATTATATTCATGCTCTTAACGTATTTTTGAGCTAAAGTTATTTTCTATGTTTGTCTTTTCAATTGTAGTTAGATGTGTAACTTGGTTTAAGATGTACCTACATGACCTGGCTAATATTTGTTTTCTCCTGTGTTCCAGGCAGTGTTCCAGGTATTGGTGCTATGGCAGTGAATAAGGGCCCTTCTTGTAGAGAGTTTACACTGTTACTGGTTTCAGAGATAGCTTTATCTTAAAAGCTTTCTTTAAATTATTTTTTTGTTACCTCTTAATCACTAACATTTTGTCTGAGAAAAACATCTTTGCAGGCCAAGAGGCAAAATTGAGAATATTTTGTAGGTACTTTTTTTAAGAATAGTGGAAACAAATTCCTATGAAATTTTGATGAAATTCAAACTATACAAATAATAGTAAAAAATTACCATGTTTTTTGTAATATAGAATAAGAAGAATGTGATTCTGTTTTTGATGAGATAACGTTTTGCTTAATTGGAGTTTAAAGTTAGTATTCCCCATCATCAAATCGATTGCAAATATTCCTCTGTAAAAACCATACAAAAACAGGTGGCAGGCCGTATTTGACCTGCAGGATATAGTTTGCTAATTTGGTATAGACCGTTGAGCTTAATTCTAACTTGTCCTTTATGATTTAATCTGTCAAATGTTTACTAATTATAAAGTATTTTATATTTCTTAGAGATAAAGTAATTCTCTCATATTTTTCAGACTAAGGACTTGACAGACACATTGATGGATAATATGTCATCTTTGACCAGCCTTTCTGTTAGTACCCCTAAATCTTCTGCGTCAAGTACTTTCACTTCCATTCCTTCCATGGGCATTGGCATGATGTTTTCTACACCAACTGATAATACAAAGAGAAATTTGACAAATGGCCTAAATGCCAATATGGGCTTTCAGACTTCAGGATTCAACATGCCCGTTAATACAAACCAGAACTTCTACAGTAGTCCAAGCACAGTTGGAGTGACCAAGATGACTCTGGGAACACCTCCCACTTTGCCAAACTTCAATGCTTTGAGTGTTCCTCCTGCTGGTGCGAAGCAGAGCCAACAAAGACCCACAGATATGTCTGCCCTTAATAATCTCTTTGGCCCTCAGAAACCCAAAGTTAGCATGAACCAATTATCACAACAGAAACCAAATCAGTGGCTTAATCAGTTTGTACCTCCTCAAGGTTCTGCAGCTATGGGCAGTTCAGTAATGGGAACACAGATGAACGTGATAGGACAATCTGCCTTTGGTATGCAGGGTAATCCTTTCTTTAATCCACAGAACTTTGCACAGCCACCAACTACTATGACCAGTAGTAGTTCAGCTAGTAATGATTTAAAAGATCTTTTTGGGTGAGGTGTCTTACTTCTATTTTGAAGGATCATTTCAGTTTCAATCATGGGTGAGCTGATTTACATCTTTATATAGTTGGCTTGGAGGAAGTACTTCTATGGGAAAGTGAACATTTCTGTGACAGGAAACATCTATGTCCATGCCAGCATAGTAGTTGTATGGACTTCTAACCAGTTGAGTTTTTTTAAAGCATTGAGAATTTTTTTCCTCTTACCAACTCCTCTTCAGGTTTTTAAAGACCCAGCCCTTCCCAATCTCAAAGAGAAAAAGGACAACTGAGTTATCTTGAATAGCAGAACTTTTTAATCAAATGTTTATTTTGGCTTGTGGATCTTGTTGTTATTTTAAAAATTGAGTTGATGGTCATTGCAAGCTCATCTATTAAGTACTACATGGTACACAGTCTACCTTTACAAGTCATTAGTCTTCATTTTAATATGTAAAAATCTTGATCCTGTATTGATTTGTTTGCATTTAAGATGACAGTGAGAAAATGATAAGCATAAAGGGAAGTATCAGGTTATTTGCTTTTTTCCAAACTTACTTTTCAGATGAACTAATGTTTAGTACAGAGACCGAGCAAATACTACAAAATTTAACTTAACCTTCATTTCATTGGTTTAAATGTGTTATTAACCTTCTTAAGTGCAAACTAATCATTGTAAATTATATTTTAGCATGGTCTGCCTCAAATAGTAATGTATTTTTCTGCATTCACTTGGATATATTTAGAATCACTTTTTTCCTCTTGTATCATAGAAGAGGTATGTGCTATTTGTTTGGATATTTGACAAAGCACTCTGATGTGACTTCCCTGACTACTACCTTCATATTTAATTTCAAATTCAAACTTCTGAGGTTGCAGCATATATGAACTGTGTTTTCAAAAGAAGATTTGTAAGAATTAAACTATATTTAATGAGTAAACTTTTGAGATTTCTGCTGTATTGTTTCAAATGTAATAAACTTTACTTCTCTAAAAATTGAGCAGTTGAATCTTCTGACCACCAACAGATTAATATTCAGCTTGCCATGATAGTCTGACCTCATTAATTACTGCTACTGAAGTTTAATTTTTTTCTAGGAATTTTAGGAACCTTTTGTTTAAACATTTTAACTTCTATTAGACATTTTTAGGAAGGAAAGAATCAAATCTCTTAACAGGAAATGCGCTTTATTTTTCAAAACCTTTCTCTGATATTTTTCTTTAATTTGCTGATTATTCAACTGCAGAGCCTTTTGCTATAAATGTCAGTTGTATTTTAAAAAATAATATCCCACTCTTATAACTTTAAAACCATCTTTCAAAGAACTATATATGTATTATAGTTGCTGCCATAGAGTTGATGGTTTTTAATTATCTGGAACCAGCAATCATTTAAAATAAATCATATTAAATTTAGTATGCTGGTACTAAGTTTATTCATTTTATATGGATATTCATTGAAAATATATACACATACTATATATATGTAATACACAGCACTTGATTACAAAATGTAATTTGATTACATTATTGCTGGCAGCATTCAGTTAAGAGGGTACTTTAAAAAATAGAAGTCAGCATTCACATCTGATTTCTGTATGGGCTGTATTTGGTTAACTTGATTTTAGAAAAAGAACTAATAGAATTGCTAAAGAAATTTATCCAAGAAATGAAAAACAGTAGGAAGATCAAATGTTTTTGTCAAATATATTCACAGCTTGACCAGATTAGCTGTCTTGTTTGTAATGCAATATTAATATATCTTTTGGGAAAAAGCTTATATATGGAATAAAATAAGTATTGGAGAATTTTTCTTTGTAACAATTTAGTAGTCACTGTTTATTGAGAAATTGTTTTTTATTTTGTAAAAAACATGGTGTTAGCATTGAACTCTTAAACAGAAAGAAAGCTTAATATAACAGCTTATGGAACTTGAACTACTAAATATGAAAATAGGTTATTTGAAAAAAATACAGTATGTAAAATTTGCTCATTCGTTGAGGTAATGGTGCTATGTTTTTACAGAATTGTTCCTACACCTTTTTTCTACTTTCTCAAAGGTGTTTTATTTCAACCATTTCCATCAATTGAACTGTTACCATTGCCTTTTTCTGTTGAGAAATTGCCTCTGAAAAATAGTGCTATTTTTAAGCTTAAGTGTTCTTAAGTGAATGAAATTTTCAAAGTACTAGATCACCTTAAAATTATTTCACATACTGAAAACAGTTAAGTCCCTTATGCTTAGAGCAGAAAATGTTTAGGTTAAAGAGCATCTGTCAACAGAATCTACAAAAAAGATTCCCTTGCGTTTGAATTGGTTCTCTATTCTCCTATTTCTAAAATGTGTGATATATATAGAGGATGTATAAAAGGAAATGGAAATAGACTACGTACTTGTCTGGTTTTTGTTTGTTTTTGTTTTGGAATGCTTGTAAGCCTCCTTTACACTGAATAAGGAAGTAGTTTGTTTTTTTTTTTTTTTTTAACCTGTAAAATACCTCACATGGTTGTTTTTACACATGAAAGAAAAAGGTATATGCGAACATACCTGGTATCAATAGGAGTATGCACCAAATAAATTTTAGCTTTGATAAAACTTTCCATATTAAGTTGTGATTTCATACTTTGTGATTACTGGTCTTAAAATAATTTTGGAACAAATGAATCTATAAGAATTCAAACTATATAGGATTTTAAGTATCTACATCATTTAATATGATTTATTTTAAACCGTAACTGTGACACTCAATAAGAAAGACATTTTACCCTGCAACTTCTATATAAAATATATACCTGAAACAAAAGTTTCAGAAAATGTCTTTAATAGGTGTAGTGTACTCTTTTTATTCTATTAATTTTTTTAAAAGTTGATTACAATTGCTAAAGGATTTCATGACTTAGCGTGAATATAACTAAAGTAGGCTGGGCACGGTGGCTCACGCCTGTTATCCCAGCACTTTGGGAGGCTGAGGCGGGTGGATCACAAGGTCAAGAGATAGAGAGCATCCTGGCCAACATGGTGAAACTTCGTCTCTACTAAAAATACAAAAATTAGCCGGGCGTGGTGGCATGCGCCTGCAATCTCAGCTACTCAGGAGGCTGAGGCAGGAGAATCGCTTGAACCCAGGAGGCAGAGGTTGCAGTGAGCCGAGATCACACCACTGCACTACAGCCTGGGCAACAGAGCAAGAGTCCGTTTCAAAAAAAAAAAAAAAAAGTAATTCAGCCCTCTCTCTCCCAGCAGAGGTAGAAACAGAGGGCCTGAGGCTTGCATGGCTTAACGTGAAAAAATCAGAACCCGTAATAGAAGCTAGATTTTTTCCTAATCTGCTGTCTACCACTTTGCATCTGTTATTGTATGAATTCCTGTGGAAGTGCTTTTGTTAAGACGGACATATGTAGCAAGTAGGTGTTCAGTACTTATTGGGTATCGTAAATATGTTTATATTGAGAAAAAATGGTTATAAAGAGGGGAGAGTTGAGATGACAGAAATGTACATAGTCAAAATGAGCCTCTGGGCTGCTGGTTTGAAATATGAGTGAGGAGAGTTGGGAGACCTGGGTTAGCAGTGTTTGTAGTACCCAGACATATAGCGGAATTAAAGCTTTTAGACTTGAGAAGGGAGTGTAGTTGAAAAAGCCATTTCACCAAGATGGAACTTGTTGAAGGTTAGAAACTTTTTCTATCCAAAGAAGCAAAGTTGCTCCAGCCACTCAGGATATAACTACCGGGGGTAAAAACCACATATGTAACTTAAAATTTTCTAGTAATCCCATTAAAAATAGGTGAAATTGATTTTTTTTTTTTCCTTTGAGACGAGTCTCCTGTCGCCCAGGCTGAAGTGCAGTGCTGTGGTCTCGGTTCACTGCAGCAATCTCAGCTCACTGCAGCCTCTACCTCCCAGGTTCAAGAGATTCTTCTGCTTCCGCCTCCTAACTGGGACTATAGGCACCCGCCACCACTCCCAGCTAACTTTGGTATTTTTAGTGCAGACGGGGTTTCACCATGTTGGCCAGGCTGGTCTCGAACTCATGACCTCAAATGCTCTGCCCACCTCAGTCTCCCAAAGTTTGTGCTGAGATTACAGGCATGAGCCACAGCGCCTGGCCCTGAAATTGATTTTTTAATATTTTAATATTGGCAGGTATGGTGGTTCATGCCTGTAATCCCAGCACCTTGGGAGGCCAAGGTGCGTGGATAGCTTGAGTTCAGGAGTTCAAGACCAGCCTGGGCAACATGGTAAAACCCCATCTCTACAAAAAGTACACAAAAATTGGCTGAGTATGGTGGCTTATGCCAGTAGTTCCAGCCACTTGGGAGGCTGAGGTGGGAAGGTCACTTGAGTCCAGGAGCCAGAGGTTGCAGTGAGCTGATAACACATCACTGCATTCCAGCCTGGGTGACAGAGTGAGACCCTGTCTCAGAAAACAAACAAACAAAAAAAACTATTTCTACATGGAATTGATATAAAAAACTCATATTTTACATCTTTTTTGGTACTTAGTCTTTGAGATGCAGTGTGTATTTTACACTTAGCACATTTAACTTCAGACTAGTCATATTTCAGGTACTTGGGAGCCATGTGGCTAGTAGCTGTTGTATTAGATAATATGGATATAGGCTGGGTGCAGTGGCTCACACCTGTAATCCCAGCACTTTGGGAGGCCGAGGCGGGTGGATCGCCTGAGGTCAGTAATTCGAGACCAGCCTGGCCAACATGGGGAAACTCTGTCTCTACTAAAAATACCAAAAATTAGTCAGGTGTGGGGCGCCTATAATCCCAGCTACTTGGGAGGCTGGGGCGGGAGAATCATTTGAACCCAGGAGGTGGAGGTTGCAGTGAGACGAGATTGCACCACTGCACTCCAGCCTGAGTGACAGAGTGAGACTCTGTCAAATAAATAAATAAATAAATAAGATAATGTAGATGTATATGGAAGCTCAATGACCAAAGAAGTGAATGATGGCTATTATCAAGCTATGGTCTCAGTTCCAAACCCATCCTTTGTCTTGCCTTGTACTGTCTTTTTCCTTTGCCAGCTGGGAAGATGAGGGCCCACGAGTGGAACTGCAAAGCAAGAGCTGTAAGAAGATACTTTACTTACGGTTGTGAGTCTCCCATTTTTATACACCATAGAAGCCCAGCAGTCCCAACAGAGGAGCTCCAGCTGCACCTCAGGTTACCTTCTCCCAACCCTGAGCCACTGTGGAGCAGCTCCCATGGGCTGCTTCCGTGCCAGCTCTGCCACTCCATCAAGCAACTGTCTCTCTGTGGCCCATTCCCTGGGACAATTTTCTTCACCATGGCAGGCTGAATGTTCCTGTAGAAACCACAGCCTCTCCAGGGAAGTCTGATCTCAGCTTGGGAGTGAGGCAGGGGAAGAGAGCCTCTCCTGGTCTTTAGTTCATTTTTTTCACTTTTCTTCACCCTAGGGACAGTATTTACCTTTTACCTGCTACTTCTGTGCACTTTAGAGTCCTCTTTTGCCCCTACAAATAATTAACCAGCTTCTACTAGTTAGCAAATATTATATTAAAACTTCCCTGTTCAAGTAGCTGGTGTGGGGTTTCTGTTTCCTTACTTTACCCTCACTGATACAGCCTGAATCCAATAATAAGTCATTTTAAAATGGGGCCATATATATACTGCTATCAAAAGCCATATGGAATTGTGTATACCTATCTTGTATGAAAACTTCATGAACATTCTTTTGAAAGTGCCCACAGTAGAAATGCAGTTTGGCTACTTTAATTATACCTACTGGATGCAGTTCCAATTTTGTCTTTTTTGCTCCTATGTTTTCGATATATTCCTTTGTGTGGGTGACCTTGGTTGCTAGTAAAGGCAGTGTTTGACTTTTATATAAAGGTAAATGAGATAGAGACTTTAATGTCTATAGTTTGAGTGTAGGAATAAACATAGGTTTGCCCCAAGTCTATGTCCCTAAGCCTACCCATCTTTTTGAACACAATGATCAGAAAAAACTCAAATATGAGGCATATCCATGGAAACACGAGAAGCATATGGTGTATGAAGTTTGGAGCCAGATAAAGGTGCTTTTTTTTTTTTTTTAAATTTCAGGCTAAAATTGTAGTATTCACACTTCATAGATGTGGGGCAGGGTACTTTACACATTTGTGTGTTGTAACAGATCCTGGTTTTTTTTGTTTTGTTTTTTTGTTTTTTTTGTTCTAAGACAGGGTCTGGCTCTGTCACCCAGGCTGAAGTGCAGTGGCATGATCTTGGCTCACTGCAACCTCCACCTCCCAGGCTCAAGCAATCCTTCCACCCCAAGTCTCCTGAGTAGCTGGGGCTACAGGCATGCACCACCACACCCGGCTAATTTCTGTTTTTTGTTTGTTTGTTTGTTTGTTTTGGTGGAGACAAGGTTTCACCATGTTACCCAGGCTGGTCTTGAGCTCCTGAGCTCAAGCGATCCACCCACTTTGACCTCACAAAGTGCTGGGATTATAGGAGTGAGATGCCGCGCCTGGCCCCAAAATTGTTTTTCAGAAAATCTTGTCTCTAACAATTGGCACTCTTAAGATCATTTCTGTAAAGAGATGGAAAGGCTTTTCACTTAGGTGGGTGTCCTCATTAGACTGCTCATGTTTCATAAGAGGTTGTCACGTCTGTCTCCAGCTACAGTGATTATGTGAATCCGCCCTTAAACAGCAATAGTACCTGTGCTCCAGCCACTTGCCAGAGAGCAACCTTTAACTCTCTATTGCCCAATTGGCAAAATCTTGTTTTTGAAAGATGTTTATGGAGGAAGCCAAAAATTGAGTAATCCATTCATTTCTCTAAAAATTCTGAATTAAACCCACTGTTGAGACCTTTGTGCCTGGGTTGCCGTGTTTTGGCCATGCATCAGGTTTCTTTTATCACTGGTAGCTTTTGACTATGCTTTAAACTGTATTTATGCCAGGGATGACATTGGTTCACTCCCACATAAATAGCTTCTTTGAGAACCCACTGGAGAGATTTCAGATTTCAGTTCAGGAGTAAATGTGCTTCTAAGCAAATGGTTTGCCCTTACTTTTTTTTTTTTTTTTTTTTTTTTTTTTTTTTTGAGACTGAGTCTCACTCTGTTGTCCAGGCTGAAGTGCAGTGGCACGATCTCGGCTCATTGCAAGCACCGCCTCCCGGGATCAAGCGATTCTTCTACCTCAGCCTCCGGAGTAACTGGGTTTACAGGTACCAGCCACCATGCCTGGCTGATTTTTATTTATTTTTATTTTACTTTTTATTTTAAGTAGAGACAGGGTTTCACCATGTTGGCCAAGCTGGCCTCAAACTCCTGACCTCAGGTGATCCACTCGCCTCGGCCTCCCAAAGTGCTGGGTGGCATGAGCCACCACGCCTGGCCTGCTCCTACCTTTTAAAGTCTGAATAAAGTAGCAGATTAGGTAATGACAGCTGAGATTCAGCCAAATTTGCCGTTTACCTGTAGCAAATGTATAGGACAATAATAGTATGCAATATTTAATGCTTACCTTCTGGCTTTATCTGATTTTTTAAAAATCCTTATTTCTCCTTTGCTCTGATTTCCTTCTAAAAAATCTTTTTTATCTATGTTCATGGAAATTCTCTTTTGGAATCA